TAGTTGCTTTATGAAGAAGGCGGAATAGTTTCCTATTATCACCTAATCGAGCCGCCGCCTCTATTCTCAAGGCCATGTCACTCCAGTAGTGACTTTTGTGTCACCCTGATGCTGTTCGTTGAATTTCTTCGAATCATCCGGCAATCAAGATCATCTGATATACATAGATTACTATAGATGCATCACTTGAAGCAACTAAAAAAAGATTTTAATATTCATTTCAAAGACATATGCCATATTATATAATATACAACCATTTTAGTGCACATAGATTTTTCCTTGTATGAAGTATTAAATTGAAGGAGAATTTGCAATCTAAAATTTCATTCCGAAAAAATGCACTCATTAAATTTTGGAATTGCATATTCGTCAAAAGTACTCAATGATATTTTTAGCTTTCCTCGCTTCCTATCTAGAAGTTTAATTGTATCAGAACGTGGAGATCTTGGAATAGTATTGAGTAATTTTAAACTGAATAGCAATATACAAGACCATTCTTAAAGCCATCTCATCTGCTATATTGTTTTAATATATCACTATAATTTATGCTATTTTTGCAGTTTTATTCAAAAAATATTTCTCTGATAATTGCCAAATACATGTTTATATACAAACAAAACTAGTTTGAAACGAGCGAGCTCAAAATTTTCCTTTATATATATATATAAATTTCCTCGGATGAACATCCTGCAGATTTTTAAAATTTCAAAAAATATATTTAGCAACCATCTTAAAACTTCAATTTTTAAATATTTGCAAAATTTTTGGGGAAAACAAAAATTCCAGAGAGATTGATGGAAAAAATTTTTCTCCATTGGAGAGAACCGATGGTGAGAAACCCTGTTTTACACTTTTGGAATTTAATAATTTACTTTGAAGTTTCTAAATATTTTGAACATAACTCTCATTTGAGGAATTTATTATCCACAAACTCCTCTTAGCAACAAAATCCAGGTAATATATTATTTTAAGCTATATTGAGCAGCTTCATTTTCATTTCTAAAAATATTCCTTACTATAAGTTACTGTGGTCACAGAAACTGCAGAACACATTCCTTTTTCATTATTAGGATGAGGAATAATCTTTAATTTAAATGCAGAAAATTTTGTTTTGTATGGCATTTAATGATTACTGCTTAATTATTTTTAAAAATTTGAAAGTTTCGATCCTTGAATTTTATTTTTTTAACATTTCTTTAGATTAAATCCTTCAAAACTATTTATAATCTTGAAATCGAAATGTGTTCGAAGAAATGAGGCATAAGGCCTAATAAATTTACCTTCAAAAAAGTTCCTAGAAAATATCAAATAACAGCTATTTGATAAAATGAAATAAAATATTGGTTTTAGCAGGGAAGATAGCAAGATTTTGTTTCAGACTGTGCCGCTGCACAATTGATGTCTTTCTCAGCCTCTTCCAGATTTTTAGGTCGATGTATAATCCTTCGACGAAATTGCTTCCCTTCAAAACAAGTGACAGAGCAATCTGACCATTCAGACCAATTTTCAACATAGCATTTTCTCAAGTCTGAAAAAAATGCTGTATCAGTTATCTAGTGGATAATGAATAAATATCAATTTTGCCCAAAATTTTATAATTTCAGTTTTGATTTTTTTTGATTTTCAATTTTCTGGGCTTGAAGAAAATTACTAATAAAAGGTGCTATCAATTTCACCAAATTTGGGTTTAATCTCCTTCTAAGAGGTAAAGTTAAAGGTTGATCAAATCATCTTCTTCTTCTGATAGCTGGCTTCATTGCTGTTTGGCCGGTTTCACTTGTGACCAGGATAAGACTTTTCCAAACCTTTTGATCCAGCTGTGGCTGTACATATTTGCTGAAATATTTCTGTGCTCGTCTTATCCTGAACTTTCTTTGTTCAAAAATCAAACATGATAAGCCAGAAATTCAGTAAGCCAGAAATGAGAAATGATCCGACCAAACAAAGGTCATAGAGATGACTTCCAATTGAGACGAGACCAAGACCAAGGATTTCAATCGTGGAGGACAAATATAAGTATGGCTATTAAGCTTCGCTTTTAATTTTTGAAATATTTTTGTCTTGTGTGATCACTGTAAGAATGATGTTATATATTGTTGCGATTTAAAATAAAGGTTTATCCAAGTTTGAGGTGCGCTACGAATACTTCTGCCGGAAAGGCTAACTAGTTATGGACATAACTGAGAACTTTTTTTCGTTACACTGTCAGCATTACCTTTAAAAAATAGGCTGCTTTCAAAAAGTAGGAGCTGTATTTGTCTTTAGCTGAAGTGCTTTTTTATATATTAAGACTTTCAAGAAGTTCTCATTTTATGAATTATAAGCGACCGAACGTTGAGTACTACACAGGATGTAAAATAATTCGAATGAGACGAAAAAAATAGCAAAATATATACCACAGTTGGGCATATCACAGCGAATTTCTTGAACCAAATGTTTTGGACATGATTTTCCTCCATTTCTAGGGAATATCTGCAATATTATTTGATATAAACGAACGTTAACTTAGAGCTGAAAAGCAATTCAGACCAAATTAAAAGAAATAGAAATTAAAAATAAAACAAAATAAATTTAAACGCTCTGAATTATAAACAAATTAAATGAAATTCTATATTCCAGTAATTCGATGCTGCCAAAGAAAAAAATAAATGATAAATGTTAAAAAAATAACTTCGACTTGTCTAGAACGCTTTCTTTTACCCGTTCCGCAAGGCACGGAGCAATTTCCCCATGGAGTCCATTCAGATATAATACAGTCAATCGGCTGTCCACCATCATCAACCTCATTTCCACCAAACTCATTGACAAGCTGATGACCAGGTACTAAAAGAATATTAAAAAGATTTTATTTACTTCCAACATTTATTTTTTCCAAATTATTGATAAAAACTTTACCAACTTCTCCGTGTGGACTTTCATATCCTTCTAAACACATTCGTTTGCATGCATCGGCTGTTTCAAACTGATTTCTGTTGCCTTTGCATCCTGTATAGATGAAACGTTCACATCGTTTAGATGTAGCGTTGTACCAAAAACGAGGATATATTCCTCCACATTGGCCTTCTTGTTTATCTTCCAAGCAAATTTCTAAAAACACAAACTGAAAAGTGCAAAGTCAGCTAAAAGACTACCAACCAAAAAATTATTGAGCAGATCTTGTTTCGATTTTCAGTATAAAAAAAGTAATTTTAAATTTAAACCTTCAGAATGAGCACTAAAAAGTCTCCTACAACTTTGCAACGAGCACTCTCGCTGTTCAAGTAAATTGACTTGCGAACAATGTTGCTCATGTTCAGCGTAGAAAAGAAGTCTGGTTCGAACGTGAACACCACTGTCGCACGATGCACTACATGGTGACCATTCACTCCATAAAGTTGTGCGACAAAGTGGGTCTGGAGTCATCGTACAATCGATTCCATTCTCACCTTAGAAAAATTTGTCATTATATGTGATAATTCCATAGAGGTTCCACAATAGCTATAGAAATTCGGGATCAGTGTATCATCGCATATTAATTAAGATCGTTAAAAAGGTCGTTAAAAAGAAATAATGAATGATATTTGATATTCGTTTGCTTGATTAATGACAAAATGGAATTAATTATAAATAAACATACCAATGCATATATCTTTCTTTTCCAACTCAACATGTGGACATCTTTTTTCAGCATCAGGCTGTTTGAATATTCGAGTTGCTGAGCGAACACCATTACCACACGTGACGCTGCAAACAGACCACTGTCCCCAACTACTAACTGCACATCCAGAATTAAAGGCTTCGGAGTCTGCAGTAAAAAAATAATGCCGGATTAACGGTGGAAAACATCCAGTTAGTCTAAAAATGGAAACGACTCTCTATTTTAATTAATATTAGCTAGTTCTATCCATGTTAAAACCATAAGCGTTACTGAAAATCTGAATTTCTCCACAAACGTGTGAAATGCTCATATTTCTTTTAACTCTCCGCTGATCGTACTAATTGATTTTTTCCATCTATTTCTATGCATAAATTTATAAATAAGATTTATAAATTATAAATATTTTATCTAAGTGTTCCATGAATAATCAGTAAGTACTAATTCTTGCTCTTTTGTGAGGTCTTAAAAGCAATTTACGTTACTTGTACTTGTACGTTATACTGGAGATTGCTTTTATTCACACCTTGGCATTCGCTGATTTTTGCGTTACAAAATTGTCTCTCAATTATTTGTCGATGACAATGGAACATTTGAGCTTTTATAGGAAATACATAAACTCTGGAACGCATACGAATTCCCTTGCCACATGTCGCTGAACATAGTGACCACGGTTCCCAATTCGTCATCAAGCATTCGCCTAAAGTTTTGAGGAAATACTACAGTTCCGACAAACTCTGCAGCTCTAATATCAATAAAATGATTTCATTAAAAATTCTCTGAAATCTTAAGATAATGCGTAGATATGAGTAATATAACTCGTGTTTTACTTTCAATGAGCACTTGGTTCTAAAGCAACTAATAACAGATCCGAAAAGCTTCATCATTCATTAAAACGATAATAAAGATAATTTTTAGAAAATTTTCAAGTTTTTTAACAGATTGTATGAATGACGCAAAATATTTTTGATAATACTCTGAGCTATGCCCGACATCGTTTTCCTTATTTCTTCCAGCTGTTTTAGTCACTGTCGAAATAAAAATAGAAACAAAAATAAAAATATCAGAATGAGATTATCAGTATTGAATTTTAAGAAAATTCCAAAAAAAAGCAAAAACAGACGTCGGTCTTTGTATTCCTCGTCTTCGCTAGTATTAGTCGCATTAAAAGCTTCTTTTTGGTAGTCTTCAATACCTTTACATTCAGATTTAATAACTGCTTTTCTTCTCAGTATTAATCGAGCCATAGGCGGTATCACATCAGTCTCTTCGTTGTAAAATGGCGATAACTTATCTAACTTCGTTGTTATTGGATGAATTGGGATACGAGGTTCAGTTGGATTATTTGGTGACTGAAAAAGTATTTTTTCAAATAAAAGTCGAACAATGAGTAGTAAAAAATATTATTCCAAAATTTTTGAATGTATTAGTTATTTAATAATTAAATAAAAAATCCTTGTATTTTCAAAGATGTCGAAGCCATTTGCTACCAAAGTCTAACATTGTGCAAGCTTTACCTTTGAATACCATAGAATTATAAAATCTGTCAAGTTTAATTTCAAATAATTTCTTACTCTTGTGGATTATTTAATCGAAAAACATATTACTACTTACGTTCAATATTTTACGAGTTATGAATTACCATGTAAGTTGGGCCACTATCTGTACCAGCGTCAAATGGCAATAGTTCGAAATTTCTTTCAGCAGCCCATGTGCAGTCGGGCATGCAAAGATTTATAGATGAAATACCGACACACCAATCTGGCGACGGACCGAACATTGCGGCCAGCGATACGAGATTGTGATATCTAAATTGAATAAAATTTTCTTGAGATTTCGAAATTCTTTATGCATTTATTAGAAAACCGACTTGTTAACAACAAACGAGCTTTTAGTTCTTCCTTGTACTTCTGGATACCATAGTCCTTTAATTTTCATCAGCGTTCGTATTTCTTTAGCCTGAACAATGAAGTGAAATTCTCGGCGAAATTTTTTTTCAAGCAGTTGCAACAGTTGTTTTCTTCGTTCAATAAAGTCCCGTGATTTGTGAGAATTCCCAAAAAGTATTTAGATGACTAGATGCGTTAAATAAAATTTCTAAGCGTTTGAAATTTATTTACGAAATGTATGCGTATATAATCAGCCTAATAGGTTTCTCTCTAGATAACAAATACTAGCCATAGTTATGAACGGCAACTATGGATAAATACCACGTTCACATTTTAAAATTGCCTAATTAAAGGTGAAATGTTGAAAGAAGAAATTTAATCAAAATTTTATCATTTGCCTAGTCAGTTTAGCAGACCTTTTCAGCTATAATAAAATAGTAGAAGAACAACTTAGTCAACCTAAAAATTTCTTTTTTATAAAGTACATTACAAACATTAGCTTTCATCTCTTGCTCTCCTTTATAAGTATTTCCCCATTCAGCGATTTCTTTCATACCATCAGTGGAGATCTCACCAAATTTCCACATTGTATAATTTGCACTATGGCTAGCTCCAAGCATATCAGTGAAATGTGTTAAATGTTCCACTGAAATAAATCGTATTCGAAATAAAACGAATAAGAATTCACATAGTCTAAATAAAGTAATATGAAGAGAGAGAGTAGATTTATTTCCACCAGTTGGAGGGAAAAAAAGTTTTAAAACAATAAGGAAATAAGAAAAATTTTACGCGTTGGATAGTCCTTAGGATGAGTGTCCTTGGACCAAAGTCCTATGAATTCAAGTTCATAGCTGGCTTCATCGCAAGCACAGCATTCTATTCTTGAGTCGCCCACTGGCATTGATTGTTGGAAGTCCTCTATAATTTTGCAATTTTTTCAAAATTTTCTTACTGCAACAATCTTTTGGCAATTTGAACTTTCAACAAATTAATTAATTAATTCAATTAATTTGTATTGATTCTACCTTTAAGGCAAAATTTTTTTGTAAGTGATCCATCATCAGCATACCAGAGAGTTTTGGCTATGATAACCGAAGCACGGAAGATAACACATCCATCTTTTGTGGTATCTGGTGCGCGCCATAAAACATGTACTGAAGTCTTAGGCCGAATGTTTGAATGGGAAACGCCAGCTTTTTGACAATTTGGTGCTATACGAGCTTCTCCTTTTCTTCCTTGCAGCTATAATAACGGCTTTCGTAATAAAATGCTAAAAATACTTTTTTTGATGAAGCTTTTGTTGAGGAACTCGCAAATTAGTGTTGCTATTCCTGATCCTATGAAAAGTACACTATGCATTAAAATACATTTATTTAGCGAAAGGCTCGCTGAAATGGCTTGGTCTTTACAAATCTGCACCACAAATTAATATCGCAAATGCTAATGGTAACCAACAGTCTCAGTTTTATTACAATTGCAATTAACATTTAAACGTCAGCTGATGCAGCCATACGATAATATTGAAATATTATCCACAAAAAAAGGTTTAAGAATTACATCGAATTTTCCAGCCGGCTTATCATTTTCATATTGCGCATAAATCCCAAATCCGCGAAATGTTTCCACAGTGAATTTTGTGCGCCAACCGCGTAATTTTACTGAATAATTCTGACAATTCATATGATATAAAGACCTCAATTATTTCTGAAGAAAGTTGCTTACTTACTATCGCATGAGTATTTTTGAATTTGCAAATCAAAATACAATATTACTTTTATAAATAATAGGAAAAATTCATAGTTATTTTCATTTTTAAAAGACGGACTTATATAACTTTCACTCGGTATATAGCCTTGCGGTTGAAAATTTGTCGTGTTAGTTGCACTTGAAATCTCGATAACAAAACCTTTATCGCCTGGCTTTTTATCGACTTTTGTTTCATATAATTTCCGATTACAAATATCGGAATAAGAATAGGAAAGAAATAAAAATAAGTAAAGGAGGAAAAACATTTGAAGAGCCTGAAACTCAACATTCTTTAATTTTTTTAATTTTCGAATTTACTTAACAGCCGATAAAGTCAGATTCAGCCTTCCTTTATGCAAATGAATATTAGTCCAACTGTGATTTCCGCTTCCTTTCAAAAAGAGGAGCTACTTAGGCGTTCGGCTGGCTGATTTCGGTAATGCCGCTGGAAAAGCTGCAATGTAAAAGCTGTCATTGTAACTTCTACATTTACTTGCTAAATTGTGCTTCTTTGAAGAATTAACTGAACATTCGTATTTCCGTACGTGAATCTGCTGAATTTATTGACATGGATGGATTAAAATCTTACTAAAAGATTGAAGAAAAGAAAAATCAAAAATCAAAGGGAGCAAATCGTTAAGCTGCAACGAAGACAACTAAGTAGCATCTATTGAAACATTTTAAAAAGAAAGAAATTAAGGTTCGAAAATCGGTTTATCTTAAAGCAGCGACGATTAATGAATGATATTTCATTATTTCATCGAATAAACCACCAAATGTTAGTTTACAACTGCTGTCAAATGTATTATTAAATCAATCTGCTTTCCATTCTTTGCTTTTTATAAGAATAGCATTTTATCAGATATCATTTAATCACTTTTTTTTAGGTTGGAAACTAATGTTTTATTTGCAAGCAGTGATTTTTTGATTCAAGCTAGAATGGACGAGTCTCATATTGCTGACAATAGTCAAACATCATCATAACCCTGAACCCTACCTCTCGACGGAAATAAATCTGCCATCAGAAATAGAATATGAGTTAAACTAGGAACCCTAATATTTGGTAATCTCTGCTTTGCTGGCATAGGAGCTTCCTCTCACAGAACCATGTACGCCGAAAATGATTGTTGAATTCAAGAGAAATAGCAGGATTATGCTTTAATATTTATGCTTTAATTTTATTGTTCTTGTTAATATCTTGGATATTAATTATTTAATAAAATGCATTTTTCTTACTTTTATTGCCACTTTCAAATGTTATTCGTTAGCGGATTTTCCTCGAATGAAGGTAATTAAAAAATTAAATACTAGCTAAATACTACATAATTCCTCGAATTATGATCAAAAATAAAAAAGTTATTACACTGCTGGAAGATTTGTTGGCCAATAATTAAGAGAACCAGTCCCATGCGTGGGCGTATATTAAGGAAAAAGAAAAATTCAATAACAAATATCGCTTAGTGAATGGATGAAAAAAAAATTTCGCTAACATATTAGCCTACTTAGCAATGCTTAACAACCTTTATTTTTAATATTTGTTGGCCCAAATTATTCATGAGTATATTCATGAAAATATTAAAACAAATGATATCGCTGTCACAGTTATTATCAATAAAAAATTCATTTTGATTGAGCCAGATATTTTAAATTATATTGTTTCTGTTCTTCTAACAATAGATTGCCTGGTTACTTTGACTGAGATGAAGGTGCAATTTGTAACTAGGAGTGGACTTGTTGTTAAAAGTAAAATCTAGTTAGTGCTGAAGCCTGATCTCCTCTGGATAAAGAGTTTTACCCTATAGTGGAGAAATCAGTGGAGATAAGCGACGAGCTAAGCCAGAAGTGATGTTGGAAAAAAATTTGGAAATGGAATGAAAAAAGTATTTGGATTTGAATAATTAAAGAATGGGTAAATTTTTTAAAAAAAAACAATTCATTAACAGAAAATATCGTCTTAAAAATTGTTGATATTTCCACTGGATAGAATTTATATTCTATAAATTAATTGTCGTGGCCAATTCGAATGAGTCGATCTAGCATTTTCCACAAGTTTTTTTACATTGTTCTTCCAGGATATATTTATAAGCAGGAATTTCACAATAATTAGGATCACAGTTATTAACTTTGTCAGCACATTTACCTAAAAGAAATATAATTGGACTGCACGAATTTTTCTACAAATATATAAATTTACATACAATTATATAAATAAATATATAAATTTGTATTTAAATTTAAAATAAACAGAAAATCCTATAAATTGACTTTTTAAATATTGAAACGATATTAAAATGAAAGTTACCACATTGGCCACATGTTTTTGGACAATAGCTTGCCATGAACGTGTGAAAGTTTTTATCCATACATTTTGCTTCATTGGTAATACAATATTGCCCATTCATATCTTTACAACTTGATGTGGAACATAGCCCACATGTTTGAGCACAACCTCGCTGGATCGCATCTTGCAAGACTGGATCAGTACTATTACATAGATTTTGCTTTTTTACATCTGCACAAGACATGGGAACTACTAAAATTTAAGTAAAAAAATTATTCTTGGTTCAAATGCATGGAAAACAAAGACATGTAAGACATCAAATCATTTTTAATATTTATATTGAATATTTATACTCGTGTCGAAATATTCAATGGCTTAATACCCCTTTTTCATGAATCAGTTTTCCAAATCACATTCAATTGCCTAATTCTATGTATTTGGTGAACCAATTTTTCAAATTACAAATCTTATATCATTCACATATTACCAATTTTCAGTCCTCTCTCACTTTCATAACCTTTGAAAAAAGGATCCACATTGAAGAGATTGACAAATTATTACCATTCGGTTCATCTGAACAACCATATTCAGGAAGAAGACAACAACTTAGACATCTGCTTCTGCACATTTCGGCAAAAAATTTCATTGTCATACAATTAGACGATACTCGATTGCTAAAAAAAAGAATCTTAACAAGTGAATTTCCATTAGGTATAGGCAAAATTACACAAAATCATATTTTGAAATAATTTTAGATCATTCAATTTATGATCTAACCATGAAAATTCTTAATTCTTTCTTAATAAAAATTAATATTATAATAATTAATAATTTCCAGTTATCATGCAAAATTTAGCCAAGAGAATGAATGAAGCTCGAAGAATATTTGGCTCAAGAAAATTCCGCTAAAGATTCCGTTAAAATTCCTAATTGGAAGTTAATGCTGTATTAATTAAGAAACATCAAAATGGCATTTCTGTATTCTATCGTCTTCTAACAGCTCTCATCATTTCTGGTTATGCTGGCTATAAGAGTAAGATGACTCCAAGCTGCTCAGTCAGACGCCATCGTTACTAGTAATAAAAGTGATAGAAGCCATTCCTTTTTCCATCGTCTAAGTCCATATATCCATACGTTCAAAATCCATACGTTCAAAATCTTTCCTGATTTATCAGCCTTCATTTTGATTGGTCCTCCTTGTTTTTAATGTCGGCTTTCATAGGGATTAGTAATATATGTCGTCGCAACTGTAACAATTATTATCAATTCGTGTGGTGTGCTTTAACCAGCGAAGGCGGCGTTCTGTGATGGTACAGGTGGTATCTGAGCGAAAATGGATGTAATCATGTGCGATTTTCAACGGACCCGTAAAATATATCTTAAAGTGGTCAAAGGCTAATAGCTTATTAATATACTCCTCTCTCATTGGCCATGTCTCGCAACCATAGAGTAAGATCGAGCGAACTGCAGTTATATAGATGCGGATTTTTATCATAATTTCGTGACGGTTCCATAAAGATTTCGTCATCGAAAGAACTTCATATATTCTTGAATATTCCATATATTCTTGAATATTAAAGTTATAAATAAAAGCCGGAAAAAATTTTTCCCATTCGATTGATTTCGCCGAAATCTTAAAAAATCACCAAATGTAATAAAATTTCTACAATTTGAGATAAATCTTAAAGGATATTCCCAAGGAAATTTTATCATTTTAATTCGAAAAGATTCAAAAATTACTCGTTTACAATAGGATCATCTGCAAACGCTAATCTACATTCAGTATCGGTAGCTTTATTTTGACACGTTGAACCAATAGCACCTGATGGACACGGACCTGGTGTATCAGCAGCTGATAATGCCAGTTCATACATTGGGCTTAATGCAAAAATTATTAACAGATGCATCTCTTGCGAAATCAACTGGTTGGTTAAGTTCACTGGAAATAATTGAACATTACAAAGGTTAAAAAAATCCATCCACTGTTACTGAATTTTTTGCATCAACCTATTCTTATTCTTCATTTGACCCAACATTTCTTTGGTTAGTTCAATTGATAATCCAGCAAAATACCATTGCTAAAGAGTAGCTCGGAAATAGAAAAACGAGTGGATTTCAAGGTTCACCTTACAAAACAGGTTTATTTCCCTTAGTGGATTTAAATGGAGCCTATTTTGCTTAGTACAGCTCAATGTGTCGTGAAAAAATGAAATGAAGAATCAAATTTTTGGAGAAGCTGAAGTATGGCAAATCAACTCTATTATGATAATCATAATTTATAACTGAAAAAAGACAATTGAGGACAAAATTCTTCTATTTTTAAGATAATGATGAGAATTTAACTTGCTCAAGTTTTCAAAAAAAATTTTTGTTGAGCAGTCGTTTCAAAAAATATTCTCGATTTATTTTTGTGAATTATACTTCATTTCTGATCGCAGTTCAGTTTTTTAACCAAACAACGATTAAAATAAAATAAATTAAAATTGAATCAAATAAATTAAATATAAATTAAATATAAATTATAAATAAGATCAATTAAATTGCACAAATAATATATGTATATATTTTTTAAATTTAATTGCTTTCTTACTTTTTATTTTAAAATTTCATTGACTATTTTATCATTTTCTTTAAATTTAATTTTTTGTCTTTGGCGGAAAAAACTTGCCATTATGTCAAAAATACGGGTGGCTGCTGGGGACCCACCTGTATTTTTATCCCCAACTGACTCTGTGGTGAAAAGGTCAGATATTTTTGATACGACGCGTCTTCCGACGCGCATGATATTCAGTCCGGTGGTTCATGCGATAAGTGCACAACCCGGGCTTAAAGCGATCCCAAGGCTGATAAATAAAAAGCTCGCAAGCTAGAATAATTGCTCGAAACCTATCAAGGGCAACGCGTGGCGAGGTTTTAGTCGTATCAGTGTGGAACATTAGAAAACTTATGGACGTTGCAAGCCAAGCAATCACTGTCCACATCCTTTTTAAATATCGTGTGGATATCGCTTGCTTGTCAGAGGTCCGTCTTCCTCATTTTGGGTCTCGAGAAGTTATTAATCCTGGTTCAGAGCAGAGATACTGGATATATCACTGTGGTGCTTTGAATAACTCGGGAAGATATGGCGTAGCGATTGTCATGTCTGACAAGGCCCATTCCGCTTTGATTGAGTGGAAACCGGAAAGCGACCGGGTGACCTATGCTCGTTTTAAAGGTATGTTCTCAACATCTCGGTCATCAGTGCCCTATGCTCCAACTCTGTGGGCAGATGACCGTGATAAAGATAAGTTTTATGCAGAACTTCAATTGCTAACAAAGTTTCTATCGAAACACGATATGGTCATAATTGGGGGGAGATTGGAATATGCGCATAGGTTATAATGCTGCTGCAATGATCTTTACAATTGACAAATATGGTATTGGAAATCGGTGAGCCAATGGAGAACGCCTTTATGCCGAAGAGTATGAACTTTTTATTACTAATACTTGCTTCCTGCACCTATTCACGTGGAATTTCCCCAGATGACCAACACCCAACCAGATTGATTATTTCTTAGTCAGTCATCATTGGAAGGGTTCCGTACTTGATGGTCGTTCCTATCGCAGCGCTGAAACGGGCAATCTTCATGGATTTGACCATGTTATGGTTTGAGCCAAGATCCGTATAAAACTGAACTCGCAAAAAACACCATCCCCAAGATCCTTAAACTAACTCGAACTAAAAAATTCGGAGGCAGTGAGCGCATTTCAAAATGAATTTTTGAAGCATCTCAGTGATACAAATATCAATGACTTCCCTGGAACGGCAAATGAATACTGGTCCAAACTAAACGAATATCTCCAAAAATGAGCCACTCCCATGCTAGAGCATACTAGAAGGAAGTATGCAAATTGGTTATCGGAAGCAACTGTCCAATTGCCTGAAAAAACTGCCAAAGCACGAAGTAGATCCTGATTGCCCGATGATTCGAAGAAATGCAACGAACAGCATCAGGGTGACACAAAAGTCACTACTGGAGTGACATGGCCTTGAGAATAGAGGTGGTGGCTCGATTAGGTGATAATAGGAAACTATTCCGCCTTCTTCATAAAGCAACTATAATTCGGGGAACGATCAGTGAAATTGTAAGGGACAACAATGGCGTGCCAGTCAAGAGTATTAAGGACCGCCTCATAAGACTGAAAGAATTCTTTAAGTCCAAACTTAACCATGAAGCGCAATATGATAAAACTGCTAGGTTTGCTGAAACATATGCTTGCAACTGCGAGCCCCCGACAGAAGAAGAAATAATGTTATCTATAAGCTTAAGGCCAATAAGACTCCGCGAAAAGATGGCCTTCAGGCTGCACTCTTTAAAAGTTGTCCATCGTCCGTCCTTCATAACACACCTTCAACAAATGTACTCTCTGGTATGGAAAAAAGAAATATTACCAGATGATTGGAGTAAAGCAATTCTGCTCCTAATTCTCAAGAAAGGTGATAGGACATACTGCGACAATTATCGAGGAATCAGCCTACTAAACGTCTCAGTGAAAATTTTTGCTTCCCTTTTACAAAAGAATTCTGAAAGTACGGGATAGCAGGATGCGCCCTAATCAAGCTGGATTCAGGCAAGGCGCGTTATATTGACCAGATATTCACATTAAGAAAGGTGTTGGAACATCGATTCAGATATTTGCAACCCACTATCACGTGTTTCATCGATTTTGCGGCTGCATTTGAATCAATTGATAGAAAGACGCTTTGGAAGATGGAATGCAACGGCGTTCCAGAGAAAACCATTCGACTCATAAAAGTATTTTATGAGCATACGTCGGCGCAGGTCTATGTATATGGGGAATTGACAGACTCCTTCGAAATAAAAACTGCTGTCCGTCAAGGCTACATTCTTTCCCTTACAATATTCAACTATGCGATAGATTGGGTAATGTACCGTTTGTCGGAACTCAAGAGGTGTCCAAATCAGTCCAGAGCATCGTGTCACGCACAGAACTTGAATACGCAGATGATGTAGTCCTTTTTCCTGATAGTTATGACGAAATGCGAGTAATGTTAAATAACGTGTCAAAAACTGCACCAAGAATAAAACTCATGATCAATGTAAATAAAATGAAAGTCTTTTCGTCTTATGTACAAGAAGCTGATAAAATGCTTCTTTTTGTAAATTCATTGCCTGTCGAGGAAGTGCCCGATTTTAAATACCTTGGGTCCACTCTAATACCAAATGACCAGGCAAAAGACAATATTATAGCCCAGATCACGGCAGCTAGAAATGCGTCCTTCTGGTTGATGAAATCTTTATGGAGCCGTCGTGAAATCACCATAAAAACGAAGATATTTATTTAGCCGTGATTCGTTCAATCTCGCTATATGGTTCTGACACATGACCAATGAGAGTGGAGGATATTAACAAACTGTCTACCTTTGAACAGTCTTGTCTAAGGTATATTTTCCTTCGAATTAACAATATGTGGAGAGTTTTAGAGAGGATAAAATATCACATGATCGACCTTCATACATCTTTGTTCAAACACCACCTATATTAATAATGTTATTACAGAACGTCGCCTTCGGTGGTTATGGCACATTCTCCATCATCTACCACAAGAGTTGTCGCATATTTGGTTACTTGCTAAACCATGTGATGATGTCAAAAGCAAGATGGGCTAATAAAGGCCTGAATTGATATGGTAAGGAAAGATTTTGAACGTATAGATGGACCAGCAATATATGGACTTAGACGATGAAAAAAGAAATGACTTCTATTACTGTCGACGATGGCATTAGCTCGCAGGAAACGTCTTACCCTTGTAGCCGTTGGAGCCAGCCTAACCAGTAATGGTGAGAGATTTTAGAAGAAAAAGAAATTTAAAACTTGCTCACCAAACTGAATAAATATCTAAACTCAATTAGTGATGAACATATACCATTAAACCTATTTTTAAAAAAAATTTTTATAATGCGTTTAAAAATAGGCTGACTTAGAGACTATTTTTATTTATCCAACTGTTGAAACATAGGAAATAATTTGCGTTATCAATCATGAATAAGCTTAATTTATTACGATTATCGCCTGTTCGTATACTAAAATTAGAATAAGCAAATAACTTTTCGTTATTTCTTCATTTCAAGAATTTTGCATAATTTCTTATAAGCCAGATTAATGAAGAACGTTTGTCCTCATCCTCATTATTTTATTAATAACTGTTGTTTCTGATAGTGCCTTTTATATTCATTTATTAATAACAATTTACCACATTATCACATATAAATCCTATTTTTTTAAGTTTACTTAAAGATTTTTTTTTTCTTAAATTTTCGATAATTTATCATAGAATTATAATGAATTTCCTTCGAGATTTTCTTCATTGTTCATCTCGGGAATTGGTGCACTGGAATTTTAAAGCTCGATTCCACCAAAAATGTGAACTTTTAAATTTTTGAAAATTTATCCTTTCATTTTTTTGCTTTTTTCCAACTTTTTTAAATTTATACTTCCAATCAGTAATACATGATGAATGAATGAGCAAAATTTCATAATGCTGAATTCACAATGAAAAATCTTGTTTAAAGCAAACAAATTATGGATGGGTAAACAGATCGAAAAAAATTCGTCCTTTGTTTAACGCCGTTTTTTTCTAATGATAAACTATCTTCGTGAATTATGTAATAATGAATTATAAAAATGCAAAATTCAAAATTATCAAGATTCTGCAAGTTAAATTTAAATAAATTTCCAGTTTTCCTTATCAGATGGAATCCCTTGAGGCCAAACTCAACCACGAAGCGCCATCTGCTGCTCTAATTCGCTCGTCGAACCATACGCTGGAAACGCGAACCACCATGGAAAAGAAAATAATCTGTCATCCATAAGCTTAAGGCCAATACAACTCTTGGAGAAAATGGTCTTCGGGTCGAATTCTTCAAATCTTACCCATCGCCCTTCAAATCACATCTTAACAAATATGCTCTGGTATAGAATAATGAAATAATACCAGATAAATGGGGCAATGCAATCTCCCTCAATCTCAAGAAGGGTGATAGGACATACTGCGACAACTATCAAGGAATATGCCTCCTAGACATCTCCGGGAAAATTTTTACTGCCAAATAGATTCATGGCAATACGAGATAGCAGGATATATCCTAGCTAAGCTGGATTCAGACCGGAACGTGCTTATGCTAACTAGATGTCTAAGAAGAATGATGGAACATCGCTTCAAATAGCAGGAACCTACCGTCACTCGCTTTACCGATTTTGTAGCTGCCTTCAATTCGAATGATAGAACAACGCTCTGGAAAGTGATGGAATGTGACGGTGTCCCAGAGAAGATCATTCGACTCATAAAGGCATTTTATGAGCATACTCTGGCACAGTCTGTGTATATGGGGAACTGATAGACTCCTTCGAAATAAGAACTAGTATTCGTCAGGACTGCGTCCTTTCCCCTACAATATTCAACTATGCTATAGACTATACAATGGACATCGCTTGCCAGCAACCAAGAACTGTACAAATCAGTCCAGAGATTATCATAGACCTTGAATACGCTGATGAAGTCCTCTTTGCTGAATTATGATAAAATGCAAATAATGCTAAATAATGTGCCGACAACTTCAGCGAGAATCGGACTGAAGATCATTGTAAATAAAACAAAGTCTTTTCGCCTTTTTTACAAGAAACTGATAAAATAATTATTTTTATAAATTCTTGGCCGGTTAAGGAAATGCCAGATTTCAAATATCTTGGGTCCACTCTAATCCCAAATGGCCAAGCGAAAAACGGAATTTTAACCTGGATAACTGCAGCTAAAAAGAAATGCCTTCTTCCGCTTAAATAAACTTTTAAGGAGTCGTCACGAAATCACTATAAAAACGAAAATAATCCTAAGATATATCGTACAGGTCCATCGAGCGGATAAAATCATCGATAATTGCATCCATTCTCGCTCAAATACCATTTGTATTAACACTATCATCACGAACGCCCTCATCGCTGGTTATAGCATGTTCTTGTCGCCCACCACAGGAGTATTTATTTACTTGACATGTATTTACTTGCTAAGTCTTGTGATGGATGGTGTCAAAAGCGAGGTGATCCAATCAATACCTGAACTGATAAATTAGGAAAGATTTTGAATGTAGGGGTAAACTAGCGATATAAGAACTTATACGATGGAAAAAAAGAATGGCTTATTATTGCCAGCGATAATGTCGAACCAAATAGTTTGAATAGCTCGATTTACTCTTGTCAGTGGAACCCGCCTAACCAGTAATAGTGAGAGCTGTTAGAAGAAACAAGTTTTGCTCGATATGTGTATATATCAACAGAACATCCACAAAATTACATATCTACGCGCATCGTGCTATTCCGAGACAGAAGCAAAGATAGTCCACTTCACGACTCGAAATCGACTGAGATGACAATCTAGGTAAAAACCACTCGTTTCAATATATTAGATGCAACTGGTAAATTTCCCTCTCCATAGGTTAAAATGTAGTATAACTTATTATTATTCCGTTATATTTTGACAATCAAATCATTTACATGAATTAATTAATCATATGATACTTGAAGAATTCACTTATATCAGAACTTTTAGTCGAAACTGAGGGAACTGAGGGAAAATTAACAGAATCCAATTAACAAATATAAAATGAAACATATGCTTTGACTGCTTTAAATTTAAAAAAGAAAAAAAAATAAAAAAGAATATTTTCACGAAAAAAAAATTAAAACTCATGTTTAAAAAAAAAGATTTAAGAATTAGTAATGAATAACAATAAAGTGGTAAAATTGTGCATAAAAAATTATATGCAATCTGGCGAACTAAACCAATTTTAATCTTTTACGGGTTATAACTGATCAGGCATTGGCAGCAAAATGAAAATCATCGGATGTGGAATAAATAAGACCTTCAGAAGCCAAATGTTCAATGTCAGCATCAAATGTCTGTGGATTGTACACCAACCGCGAAATACCTTGTCGAATGCTATCAAGACTTGCACCAACCATTTCATCGCCATTGATGCGCAGATATTTGAAGATCTAAAAAAATAAGCAAATTTAAAAAATCGAAAAAGATCTAAAAAAAGATTATGATTCAATTGTAAAAAAATAAACAATAAAGATACAGCGTGAAATACCAAGATTGAACTTACTTCTGCTCTCTGACCAGTCAAACCACGACAACTTTCATATGTTTGATTAATGCTTCCTTTATTTGCAGAACTTGAGACCTGCTTTGAATCTTTCCATGAACTGTTCATACCCCATCCAGAATTTATATCGCTTTTAGCCGCTGCTGCACCCTGTAGAATAGTTCCGTCGAATCGACTGAGATCCATGGCATTCATTTCTGGTATATTCTAAATAACATCTTCAAAAATAAAGGGAAATAATCTATTTTCCAAAGGCAGATTTAATTTGAATTCCCCACATTCAACTTTCTCGCTTTTGCTTCAAGAATTTTTAAAAAATTTGTTGTAAAAAATTTGAAATCACAGCGATTTGCATAATAAATCACAAATTTATAGTTAAAGACATCTTAAAATTTTTTAATTAATTAAAATTTAATTAAAATTCTTCAACAGACTTGCGTATAATAAAGACGAGCCAACTTAGCTTCAAGGGCTAAAGCATCAATTTCGCGTTTGTCTTCAACCTCTCGAACCTAAAAATTTCCATGTTGAGATTATATATTACGAATTTTACCACTTATAGAAGTTCACATAAAAAAATTTCTAACCACAAAAGCCACTATCACAAATTTGCGATTGAAGCTCCGCAATTTTCCAAATGCCAATATTTCCGTACCTTCAACGATTGGATCTGCTGAGATATCGTCCTGTGACTATAAAAAAAATAAAAAAATAAAGAATAAGACTATCTGCCACAAATTTTCACTCTTTACCAACAATTCGAAAAGCAAATGTTAAATTTGATCCCAAAAAAATTTCCAAACCAGAGATAGAGGGCATAAAAAGACAAATGAAGGAAATCAAGGAAATAAATAACTTAAAAACCAACAATGCCTCTATAATGTGTGACAAGAAATTCTGCGCCAGAGACTTTTGGATCTGTTATAATATATTCGATTGATTGACCATCATCGGTTATGCTTGAACTCTTTATTTGCCCAATCACTCGAACCTGATTGATATAACTATTCTTTATTCTCTCTATTTATTACTAAATACTAATTTTTTTATATTGCATGCCATATATGCGTTTTCACAGACCCTCAAGAATGCTTTATTTTGTCAAAACTATGAAAAGAGAAACACGATCTGCTGACGTTTATGATAGGTATTTTGACGGAACGCCACTAGGACAACGAAAAGTTTTGAATGCGAACCGTGCTAAACGCAAATTTCCCCAACGTGTATTTTTCGTCATTCGGATCAACAGCGCATAAATCAGCAACACTTGCCGGAATCGGAATTTTATCGGTGATGCGCGATCGATCAAACGCACTTTCCGCAGTAGCAAACGACGAATCGCCAAAACCACCGGCGAGGCCAACGTCAAAACTCTCGTTTGCCCACGCACTCATCTACATTTGCTTCTTTGATTACTTTTTACGTTAAAAAACGACGAATAATTTGAAAAGAATAAAATTGTCGCACTAAATACGAAGTCTTCAACGAATTTTTAAACTGAACTTCTAAAGAAATTACGGATTTGAAAAGACACTCAACGAAACCTTAAACCCGTTTCCTTAAACCCCCTCGCCACCTTCAACAAACGAAACCCCTACTAAAATTGAAATCACTTCAACCGTTTCAAATTAATCGCGCTAAAAATCCTAAATTACAGATCTAAATTTTGAGCCGCACGCGTCCGATTCAAATTCCGCCCATCAGTGCGCTCTTCGAATATTTCAAACGTTTGTGGAAAAAATTTTCGCAAAAATTTTGATCTTTCCACTTTTCAGTCGGAGTTTGGTTCATTTCGTTTGCTTTAAAAGAAAACCTAAAGAATTTATCTAATTTTAATAATTGCGAGGGAGGGTATAGTTAAGCATTAAAGGATTGATTCCCTGACGCGTCATTCGTGCGGTGACTTTTATTTTTAACCGTACGGACAGCTTGTTTACGGGCTGCCAGAAATGCCGACGGTCGCTCGCTTACTTTTCACTTTTCGTTTAACTGATTATTACTTTTACTATTACTATTTTTAATCGGTGATTTATAGGTGGAATGCATCGTTTCGTCAGACATTCTCTTCGACAGATTCCGAATGATGTAGTTCATCGACGTAGTTCACCGATAAAAAGAAATTTGTGTACAACATCGTCGGAGGAATCGACAAGGCTAAGCAAAGAGCAGCAAGTTGGCTGTTTTCCTTTTAAAATATCGATCGATAAGATCGTTGTAGAATATTTTTCAGGGTGTTCACAGTCTTCTCCATTTCACTTGGGTGTAGTCTTAGTTTTCAGACTGGAAAAGGAGCGATTTTTGTTGACATTGACTATTTTAGTTTTAGTTGAATTTAATCCCATCAAGTTATTAATGTTAACAGCTCGCACTTGCTGGTCGGGCTAGTTCCGCTGGATGTAAGGGTAAGTAAGGGTAAGAGCATTTCCGAGTCGCTCGATCTGATGCCGTAGAGAAACGGAAAGCACTAAATCAGTATTGCCCATACATCTTAAAAACCTCGCAGATCTTTTCTGAATGTTTCAAATAAGTCGGTGCAGTCAAGTGAGATTTTATCCGTCCGGCGAGCGGACGTAGAATGTGCCTAAAACATAAGTGGCCAGGAGTAGATATCTTCTCAATATCTTCGAGATATTTAAAATCCGCCGCTTCCTTAGATTTCCTTTTGATAGAAACGGTTATTTTCTCAGTCTCGGGTATATAAGACGAAAACTTTTTCCTCTTATTTGTATTCATCCAGAGCCTAATTTTTGTGCTGCAATTATTACATTGTTTTGCATCATTTGCATTTATTCATAGCTACCAACTCTGTCATCAATGAATTCAATGAAATTTGTGATGTTCTAGATTCTAAATTGAATTGTGCTTCCTTTAAGCACCGGCAAATTGTTTTGTATCCATAATCTATCTCATAATTGAATATTATAGGAGAAAGAACACCAGTTTTTATCCTTGAAGAATCAATTTTCCAGCTGCATAAAACTATGCTAATGTGCGAAAATACTTGTGATTATAATCTCTGGAATACTCTCATGTCCGTGAAGCAAGTAGCGGTGCTTTGCTGATATTTAAAACGAGTATAATACTCTTCGAGCACCCTTCTTGCTGTGAATATCTGGTTAGCACAACCGCGTTCCGACCTGAATCCAACCTGTTTAGGATGCATCCTGCTGTCTCATATTCCCATGAGCGAAAATTTTTCCCGATATATCTGGTAGACTACTTCCTCGGTTATTTTCACAGCACAACCTGTTGTCTTTTTAGGAATTTCTTCTTCTTCTTCTAACAGCTCTCACTGTTGCTGGTTAGGCTGGCTACAACGGCTACAAGACGCTTCCAAGCGGTACGGTCTGATGCTATCGTCGACAGTAATGGAAGCCATTTCTTTTTCCATCGTCTAAGTCCATATATTGCTGGTCCACCTATACGTTCAAAATCTTTTCTGGCCGTATCAGTCCAAGTCTTGATTGGCCCACCTCGCTTTTGACGCCAACCGTCACACGGTTTAGCAAATAACGAAATATGCATCAACTCGTGTGGTGGACGACGGAGAATGTGCCCTAACCAGCGAAGGCGGCGCTCTGTGATAATATTATTTATAAAAGTATTTGAACGAAGGTGGATGCGATCTTGTGAGATTTTATCCACTCAGCGAACCCGTAAAATATACCTTAGACAAGAGTGGTCAAAGACAGGTAACTTCTTAATATCCTCCATTCTCATTGGCCATATCTCAGAACCATATAGTAAGATCGAACGAATCACGGTTAAATATATGCGGACTTTCGTTTTTATAGTGATTTCACGACGATTCCATAAAGGTTTCGTCAACCGGAAAAACGCATTTCTAGCTGCCGTGATCCGAGTTGTAATATCATTTTTTGCCTGTCCATTTGGTATTAGAGTGGATCCAAGATATTTGAAATCAGGCGCTTCCTCAACCGGCAATGAATTTACAAAAAGAGGTATTTTATCAGGTTCTTGCACATAAAACGAAATCTTTTCGTTTTATTTACATTGATCCTGAGTCCGATCTTGCATTTCGTTATAACTGTTAATTTAATTTAATTTAATTTAATTTATCAAATTATAAAATTATAAAATTTAATTTAATTTATCAAATTTAATTTTTTTTTTGTCTTTGGCAGGAGTAAACCTGCTATTATGTCAAAAATCCGGGTGGCTGCTGGGGACCCACCTGTAACTCTGTCCCCAAGTGACTCTATGGTGAAAGGGTCAAATACACTTTTTTAGGAATTGAAAATAGATAAATAGTAAACTGGAAATGGCTTTGCTCCAATCATTTGTTGAAAATGGAATATGAGGGACGATGGGTATTATAGATATTTGAAGAATTCGATCTGAAGACTATTTTTTTCAAGAGTTTTATTGGCCTTGAGCTTATGGATGCAAAGTTTATTTCCTTTTTGTTGGGAATTCACAGTTGCAAATGTATGGCTTGATAAGTGAATTAGTTTTGTTCAGGACAACAGATGGCTTCTCGTGGTTAAAAAATTATGAGGCATCTTTAATAGCCTTAACAGGCACACCATTATTATTCCGTATCATTCACTCATCGCTATCCAAATTATGAAGAAGACAAAATAGTTTCCTATTGTCCTAGTTCCCTATTAACACCTAACCGAGTCGCCTTCACCACTTCATAAGACCATATCGCTCCAATAGTAGTCTCGCCATACTGTCGAAACAATATGTCGAATGCTGCAATAAGACTTAGGACCATTGTAAATAAAATAAAAATCTTTTCCTTCTTATATACAAGAAACCGGTAAAGTATCTCTTTTTATCAATTCATTGATGGTTGAGGAAATGCCTTTAAATGCCTTGAATCCACTGAAATTCCAAATAACCAAACATAAGAATTATAAACGGTAGCTAGAAATGTGAAACTTTTGGTGAGCCATCGCGAAATCACCATAAAAACGAAGGCTCGCGTTCTATAGCTGCGATTCTCTCGATTTTGCTATATGGTTGCGAGACACAGCTGATGAGATTGGAGGATATTAAGAACCTATCTGTTTTTGACCACTTTAAGATATGCGTCCGAGTAGATAAAACCGCACATGATTCCGTATATCTTCCACCTGCATTAATATTATCATCATAGAAACGCCTTCGCTGGTTAGGTCATGTTTTTCATCATCTGCCACAGGATTTGACTCATATTTCGCTACTTGTTAAATCCTGTGACTAGTGAGGAAGGCAAATCAAGACCTTAATTGACTTCGAACGTTTATGTGGACCAGTGATTTATGGACTTGGCTGATGGAACAAGGCTTCTATTATTGTCAACGATGGCGTTGAACACTGAACAGCTTGGAAACTTCTTACCTTTGCTAGCGTAGCCAATCTATCCAGGAATGGTGAAAGCTGTTAGAAGAAGAAGAATATCCTCATGTTTAGTCATTCTTCAGATCTCCATTCTATTAATTGAATTGAACGCATTGATAAGTTCAATAAAAATAATGGTAGATTGCCGGTATTCGAAGCGATGTTCCAGTACTCTTTAGTTTATACAGTCACTTTGTATTCATCTTTGGTATGAATCCAGTAGTGCCATAAGTCTTGAGCGGGGAAGATTTTTTTCAGAGATATCTATATCTAATAGATTAATTTCCTCGATAATTATTATATTATTACTGTATGCTATCTATTCCTTTTCCTCGGGATTGGAAGAGTATTGGTTTGCTCCTGTCATCTGGTGTTAATTCTTTCTTCCATATCAGAATCCATTAAAGATGAGTTGTTAATGATAGTAGATCGGATCATTTCATTAACCATTTCTCGAGTTATGGTTGCTTTATGAAGAAAAAAGGAAGTGCAGTAGTGTTCTATTATCGACTAATCTAGCAACCATCCCCGTATTCAATGCCACATCAGTCACAGTAGAGATTTCTGTTCCTCCGCTGTTGTCGTCTTCGACTTATCCAGTAGTTAAGATCTTTTAATATGTGCGTTCTGTCAGTTTTTTCTTACAGTTATACTTCCAATATGCAACTAGCCCATTTCGAAGTGCCATATCCTTTGCTTGGATTTATCTTTCCTCTGGAAGCATTTTATTTTGAACCATTTATCAAACATCGTTATTGTTCTAGAAGTGTCATTTATATGAGGTGTATCGATAATTATAAAATTTAGCTTGAGATGGATGATTTTGGAGATACCGTTTCCTGCATCTGCATTTTCATGTAATTCATGAATCGAACCCACAGTATGGTCTTTTCTGTGAATGTTGCCAACTTTAGAAATAGCTAGTACTCCTGCAACGACTGGGATATAATCAACCTGGTTGAATTGATTATTGGTTATTTCCAGAATTAAAACTAGGTGTCTTATTCGATGTCGGTAGCATCTGTGGAAAATCCATTACCCATTGGTTCTTGGATGAAACAAAAAAGGCGCTCTTTGACGGCGAATGTCGGATTTACTGATGACAAAACGCACAACGGTAGCATCTTGATGTTTATTCAGGTTAATTCAGGTAAATTCACAGATAATTTAGAAACAGTTTGGTTGAACGACCGCTGCCAAAATTTTTAATAAATATTTTAGGAGAAACTAAAAGCAGCACTGCAAAAGCTTCGTACCATTCAGCCTAAAACCTTATCCGAAACAAATGGAATTGCTGGATTCGATGGTAGTGAAGTTTCACATGAAATGGATATTGATTCTATCAGAGCTAGAGGGTATGTTTCTTATTTCATTCTAGCTGTTATCCTTGCGGTATTTTTGATTTTTATTAACTTTTCAACTTTTCATTTAAATTTTAAAGACAAATTTTTTAAATCCTTTTTCAGTTTTATGAAATATCGATATAAATATTATCCACTGAGAAATCTGGATCAGATAATCTTCGATGTTATAAAAAATAAGATTCCTTCTGGGCTAGTTAGTACGAAAGAGTTGCTGAAGATTGATCTCAATAATGATGTACAGTTGAAATTCGAGGCATAGTTTTGTTTCACATATTTCACATATAAAATTTAAAAAATTTGTTTTTTAGGCTTCTTTTTTTATTTAAAAATATTGTTTTCATAAAAATCAGGCATTTTGGTTCAATCCTCTTTTCTTAGTAGCAATAACCATTTAAAGTCAAATCCTGGTGGTGTTAGTGACCTATATTTATTATCTCTCCGGACTGATGGAGGGATTTCCTGTTAGCTAAGCTTTATTGCGACTGGTGGATGAAAAAAATTTTTCGAACTATTATGTCCTTTTTAGGTCAAAGTCGGATGTTTTTATTAAATTTCGTTTTCGATTATTTTTTTCAAAGAATTTTCAAATCAACTTTGACTATGACAGTAATCTTAGAATGGCCTAGTGGGTTCTTGCTTCGGAGTGCCGATGCTGAGGTTCTCCACAGGAATGAATCTGTCCAAAAATCCGGGTGATGCTGGTGACTCACCTGTACTTCTATCGTCAAGAGATTCCTTGATATATTTGTCCAGTGCGGCAAGCCAGTAGAGCGAGTTTAATGATGAGGACTTTTAAAAAGAATGAGGGTTATCTTAGCAGAAGTATTTATATTTTTTGCTTTTTTCAAAATGGCATTAATGACTAACTGTTTCTCAAATATTTCTTATAGTTATTGGACTCATTAGGAAAAAAACTGAAGCATACAATTCCAAATTGCGAACTCCATCGCATTAAAACTTTGGCGAATGTAATAGACTTCTATCGGCTGCCTGTGAAAAATTTAACTGAATATGACAGTATGGTCCGTGGTGAAAATGGCGATTTGCCAAAAAACCTTTATATGCTTGAAAATCCTGTGCGTTTTCATCCAGAAGATAAGGAATCCTATCACGGAGGTTAAGTTATAGAAAATTTCGATTTTTTTAAAATTAAAATTATGGCCGTAATTTTTCTTCCATGTTTGTTAATACTCTTATGGTGCGAATTGTCGAATTGTTTTGAGTTAATGGCTCAAAATTTTAATATATGCGGAATTTTAATGAAGGAAAAAACCTTCCTTTTAATTAATTAAATACTCAAATCATTTGAGCAGTATGAAGAAAAATATGTTTTTTTTTTCAATTTGTTTTTTTCAGAGTTTGGAATTAGAGTTTTATAGATTGTTTCATTATTACTTTTAGGTATAACGGCATATCCTGGTGTGGGAGGAGCTGTATTTGGCATACGTAATCAACGAATATACAGGCAGTTTCAACCCAAAAAAGATTGGTTCGATTATGAAGATCAGACTTTCAATTTTAAACGGCCAGATGCAAATATGCCGTGGAATACAGAGATTGCCGAAAAAATGGACCGTTATCCAAACTTGAAATATAATTTAAAATTAAAAGGTTTTAGACGACTTGGGCCTCCCAAATAGATTGGAGGATTGCATGGCTTTTTATATTTTTTCTATCATGTTACTGTGGTTTTCTGCAAATTGTATTAGATTTTTTGTATCATTTTATGAATTTCAATTTTTATACGTTAAATAGTTTTAACAGTCGTGAAGCCGCTATATGTACTGTTAAATGACGTTTGTGATCCGTATTAATAAAAAATGCCGAATAAAATTTGCACGAATACCAAAATTAAGGCATCAGTATTTGCTGAAAGGTGATAATTTCTTAGTCAGCGAATTTTTTGCGTTATCCCATAATTTCTGATTAAATAGGCATTGCTAACTTACAATTTCACAAAAGCAAATTTTATTCTTTTGCAGAACCTTCTTTTTATTTGGAGGAAGAAAATGTAAATGAAACAATTTATATTTGAAGTAGTATCTTCAAAGCGTATGAATATTAGTAAACGAATCTATTAAATTATCGAAATACCATTTTATTGTTGTTTAGAAATTCTTAACCCTTGATGGTAACCATTTTTGGTTAGGGTGGTAAGAAATTTTTACAAGGATGATCGATTGGTGATAGAAAGGTGGGTCGTTTTCTGATAGGTACTTAGGTGATGGTGCGAAGTGGTGTTATCTCTGATTTTATCACTAATTTAAATCAGTGGTGTTTTTGCAATACTGTTTTTCTTCTTTTCTACAATTAAAGGTCGATGAAGAATGTTTATAGGCTTATCAGAAGTTTATCAACGAATCGTGTGTGGACTTACTTCAATAAGGTTTGAAGAACTGAAATGGGGATCCGTAATTTTTGTCAGGTGGCCTTCATTTGTTGAGGGACCATTAAGCTCTTATCCCACCCATATTGCCGAATAATCTAACAGTTTATCACTAAATCAGTTTTCATCGGCAGAACATTTGGTACTTTAGAAGGAAGAGACAGGGCACAGCAAAAACTTAAGTTTAATGTTGAGTTAGAGGCGAAAGTGAGAAAGTTGCATAGAGAGTATGGAAGACAGAGAGGAGACAGACTCCATGTGAGAACAAAAGAATGTGGGAATTTAGGATTTTCTCGGAAAAAAACGATTTAATAGGTTATTCAAATTTTGTTGAGGTTCAGACGCTGCATGGTTGGTTAAGTCAGAGAAATATTGAAAAAGCACGGCAGAAAGCAAAGACATCCTTGTAAACTGCTCTCTATTCGCTTCTGCGCTCTCTCAGTTTCCTATTTCTCTAATTGATGCTCTTTCGCTAGTTTCTTCGTAAGGCTCTCAGCAGCTCTCCAAATCGTTCTCTCTACCACATTTTCTTCTTATCTCTGTCCATCCTCGACGTCGCACTATTTTGTTTTGTTTGTTTCTCTCCGCACGCTGCATTCGTCGCACTATTCATCTCTAATTTCATGTCCCCAGTTAGCGTTCGATTTTTATGTTCGTCGATTGCAGTTTTATGAGCGGTTCAGCTTATATTGAGAGTGGCATTGTGAGGGGAGCAAAGTGGTCGGTGAGGTGTGAGCAGTGTGGGTAGGGAGGGAGGGGAGAGAGAGGCACGTAGGGGGTGGTGTGCACGGAGTATGGAAGACTATGAGAGGTGTAATGAAGTAAAGGGGAAGAGGGTATATTAGGACCAAAAGGAAGTGTGTAAACTACGTTTCAGACTTTCATATTCGTGGAAATGTAGATAGTACAATATGCATTCAGGGAAGTTGGGGAAGAAAGAGAGTGCAGAGCAGTACAAGAGAGTATATTTTTAGAATGTCCGTTGAGTAGTGAGTGCACAGTTCCACTGGTTGATTTAATGGTAAAGAAAATTGTCATCTTCCAATTGATTCTTTTCATTAAATTTTTGTACAGTTCGCAATATTTATTTTTGTGTTTATGGGAGATTTTTTTAAGTAAAGTGTGCTATTTGCCAACCATTTCAAAGCAGTGATTCAGTTCGCTTATCCGTCCATCAGTAATCGATAATAATAAAATAAAAAAAATTTTGATCGTTAGGTCATGAAAATATATAAGAAGCATTTTTTTCTGTTATTTCATCGAATTTTCTATTTGAAATTGAAATAGTTCGAAGTATTATTTAATTGCTCGTAAAAAAAAATAAAAATTTTGTTGGATTATTCATTATAAAAATACATTTGAATAGTTGGGCGGTTTTTTATCCGCGACAGTGTGGTTCACGTCGCCAGTGTTACGCGGCACTATAGTTTGTATTTTGCAATATTTCGTAGGTTTGAACTTCTTTGGCGAAAGGTATTCAGCTTTTGCATAAATTATTTTTCATAAGATACAGATTATTATAAATTATTATTGGCTGAAGGTAGTATATGATTAGTTTTTCAAAGCATCATTCGTTGTTTAATGTATTATTTTCCAGTAAGCTGCAGTTTAATTTTGTTTAAAAAATCTTTAGAAACGATGCCGATTCACCGAATTCACGCTCGTCAGATTTATGATTCTCGTGGTAATCCAACTGTTGAAGTTGATTTATCTACTGAAAAAGGTGAATTTTGAAATTTGAAATTTTTTTTGTGGCATAAAGTTCAAAATTTGTTGGCTGAAAATCTTTATTTCGTAAACAGATATTTATACATAAGTCCGATTCCTGTCCATCAAAATTTATCATTGGGCATGTTTGTCATTCAAAGTGAAACCTGGGTGGCTGCTGATTCACGGTAATATAGAAAATTTTGCATTTAATAAGAAGGTATATATGGGATATTTTAAGGAAATTGGTTAGAAGGAGAACTAACTGATCAATTTTTTAGGCGTTTTTCGAGCTGCTGTTCCAAGTGGTGCATCCACTGGTGTGCATGAAGCTCTAGAATTGAGGGATTTGGATAAAAATGTGCATCATGGTAAAGGTGTTCTCAGAGCAGTTGCAAACATTAATGCAAAAATTGGGCCAGCGATCGTCTCCAAAGTATCTTTTCCTTGTTGGGCAAATAATATGTATCCTTTAAAGAAAAGGGCAAAGAAAACTGGTGTGCAAATTTTGGATTATTATGTACTTTTTTAAAATTCCATTTATATTTCAAATTATTGTAAATTTCTATCACTAGTAAGCAGAATTTTGTTTTGCAGAATTTTTGTCCAACTCAGCAAGCCGAAATCGATAAATTCATGTTGGAACTTGATGGAACTGAAAATAAATGTAGTTTTTTTAAACATTTTTGATAGGGTAATATTAGTGCTCTGGTTTTTTCACCATTATCCGAAAAGTTCCTCTTTTTTTTCAGCGAATCTTGGTGCAAATGCCATCCTCGGTGTTTCGCTAGCCGTCGCGAAAGCAGGAGCTGTTCATAAAGGGATGCCGTTATACAGATATATTGCTGAATTAGCCGGTGTATCGCAAGTTGTTCTTCCTGTACCCGCGTTCAATGTTATTAACGGTGGATCTCATGCTGGTAATAAACTTGCTATGCAGGTAATTTTATTTTCTGTTTCACTTTTTTGGTTAAAAAGGCTTAATTACATTTGAATTTTAAATTTCATATTCACTTTGATTATTTTATTATATTGTTGCTAAAACTGAAGTTTTGGCGCTTATTGTGTCGCAGAAATATTTCGTACTTTATATAAAAGTTTGAAAATTTAGGAGTTCATGCTTCTACCAGTCGGCGCGAAATCATTCAGTGAAGCTATGCGTATGGGATCAGAAATATATCACTGTTTAAAGGTTCGAATACATCTGTAGGTTCTTTGAGTCATAATTCACAGATTTGTTGGTTATAGGCGGAAATTAAGAAACGTTACGGTCTTGATGCAACTGCTGTTGGTGATGAAGGAGGTTTCGCACCAAATATTCAAGATAATAGAGAAGGTTTAGATTTGCTCAACACTTCTATTGCATTAGCAGGTTACACTGGAAAAGTATCAATCGGAATGGACGTTGCGGCTTCTGAATTTTACAAGGCAATTTTTTCTCATTTAGATTCATTAAACTTTTTTCACTGCTTTCAGATTTTTAAGGGATATTATTGAAAAAAATATATGGGTATATTTTTTTCTTACGGTGTTTTTTAATCATAAGGTGAAGTTTTCATAGAATTATCCGTTAGTTGTCAGAGAAGCTTGATAATCAAGTTATAGGAAGCCGAAAAAAAGTATGATTTGGATTTCAAGAATCCGAATTCAGACAAAAGTTTATGGAAAACTGGTGATGAAATGGCCGAACTTTATCAGTCCTTTATCAGAGTAAATATTTTTCTAATGATTATAATGAACATTGTGTTGAATATTGGATTTTGCTTATCTTTCAGGAATATCCTGTAGTATCAATTGAAGATGCTTTCGACCAAGATGATTGGACAAATTGGACTAAACTAAAGGCTAATACTAATATCCAACTCGTTGGTGATGATTTAACTGTCACTAACCCCAAACGAATTATGAAAGCTATTGAAGAAAAAGCTTGCAACTGTCTTTTACTTAAGGTATATAGTTTTTTCGGAAATATCTATGTACTAAGTTATATCTGTTTTAAATTTCATTTTGGTTTTCATTTTAGGTCAACCAAATTGGATCAGTTACTGAATCGATTGAGGCTGCAAAGCTGTCACGCAGCAACGGATGGGGTGTTATGGTGTCTCATCGTTCCGGTGAGACAGAGGATACATTTATTGCTGACTTAGTTGTTGGTCTTGCCACTGGCCAGGTGTGTAATTTCATTTGGTAAATAATTATCTCAGTGTCAATTATTGAATATTTTAAATTATATATAAGTTATATTACAGATAAAAACTGGTGCACCCTGCCGTTCCGAACGTCTCGCGAAATACAATCAGCTGTTACGTATCGAAGAAGAACTAGGAGCTGCAGCGGTTTATGCTGGAGAAAAGTTCCGAAATCCTCAAGCTTAGCTATGGAAAAAACCTGGTTTTTTATTTATGCTGTTAGGTCTGATTATATAAAAATTCTTATTTTATAAAGATTTTGCTCGTAAACAGTCGTAATTTTTTGTTGACGATTTTTAATTTGAATCAAACGTACTCGTGGGTTACCAAATGTTATTTTCATATATCTTATATTTTTTTACCATCTTTCGACAATTTGATGTTAAGTGTGGTATCTCTGGTGTAGTGGTTCTTATCATCATCTCGATTTAATAAATTTTATTTTCATTTCCTGGTAAAAATTGGCACGCGAAATACATCTCATAAGTATATGCATTATTTCTAGTTTTACTAGTTCCACTGGGGTTTTCGATTTTGGGGAAAGACGGACCAAGAGTGCTAATTTGACATTTTTAATCCAGGCATTTTTCTTGAAGGAGGTGGAGGCACTTCTGAAATATATTTTAAATTTAAAATTACGATAAATTACTTCAAATTTGTGTTTTAAGTCCTATTGTTCTTTTAGATTCCGTTCGTGATACTCTGTGATTCCGTTTCTTTGAAGGATAAATTTTTTTAGTACGTAAAAGATTAGCCAGAGTTTTCCACAGCCAGAGTTTTAACGTGCAGAAAAAGTGAGACAAATTCAGAAACTGAACAGAAAGAGGGCTGGTGGAACTTGGTGAGGGAGCCACTGTCTTGGGTGAAGCGAAACATTCAGGAATATATCAGCAAGATGGCACTAAATGCTAAGATGCTGAGGGAGATGCCTGACATCTATAGACATCGGACCAAATAAAAGATATACCATGGTGAAGCAAGAACTTCCATGGGTAATAACACCGACAAATAGCAATAAATCTTATCAGTGGTTAGAAAAAAACATTATTGAGGATTGATTATAGCAATATGCCAACATCAGATCCATTGAAGCAATCACATCAAACACGGTTCAAGGTGCAGATTATGCAAAAAACTTTCAGAAACTGACGTGCACATAGTGGCATGAAAATTCAGGCAGGAATACGCTGTAAGTTATAATCAAATAACTGGGCATTGTCTACAGCAATACCTCATATAGCTTAGTTTAGAACTCTAGAAAATCGTGAGTAATAAGGCCAAGATCATGTTGGACTTCCCTATCCAGATAGCCAAGCAAACACTAGCCAATCAATCAGATATCGTGGTAGTAGAAAATGATTGAAGGAATATACCATGAGATCTTTATTTATTTAACGTACTAGATTCCTGCTTCAATGGATCTGGTTCTTAGTGTCTGCTCTTGTGCTGATGTAATCAATGTCTCAGTATTGCCTTTTAGTCTTTTAGTCCAGACTTTTCCAGCCACTGGCAGAATTTCATAATGCCGCCCACTTCAGCTATCTGTCGATGATGCAATCCGTAGAGGGCCTTGCTTTGCCATGGTAGTTCTGCTTAGTCTTTCTCCACTGTCTATATATCCTTCTCTAAGCAGCTCATCTCATCATGTCATCTTGCTAATATATTCCTGAATGCTTCGAGTTTCATTCAAGACAGTGGCTTTTACACTTACCAAGGCCCGTGCTGCTGGCATAGTATAATCTTTAGGTGTTGGACTTGGATTGGAAATTTCCATGCATTATGAGGAGTTTCCTGCTCTTTGCATCAGCAGCCTCCTTTGTCTTCCTTTGTCCGCCTTACTGTGCCAGGTGTTTACCTAATATCTGACAGGGCATATACGTTTATGGCATGGATTTTGTCTTTCCCAGTGAGATTGATTTATCTTATTCTTTGGTGATATTTAGGTCTACCCTAATTATTCATTATTATTTTTCCTGTCTTCCACATTATTTGGCCATATTTCTATAATCCGAATAACATCCCATTGTCTTCATTGCAGATCTCAAATGGATGCAGTCAATATTTCGTTCACTTTTTGCATATAACATGATGTTATCCATGTAGAGATGGCTAATGACAGCTTTTTGATTTTGTATCCGTATACGCTTCTAGTGATTATCTGACTGAGGGAACATACACCTATGCAGAACAATAGAGGACAAAATCATCTTGATATGTGCCGCATTTATTAGCTATTTGTGCAAATTGTTTTGAGCTGACTGTTGTTTTCCACAGTTGCATTAAGTTCTTAGTGAATATCTTGAAAATCCTTTTGGTTTTGTATAGAGCCAGACATTCATAGATCCATATCCATATCGGGATTTTGAGTCTTGAACGACTGTCTTATCTATGAGCAGTTGGTATTTTGTGCCTCTGATGTTGTTCCTTTTAAATTGTACTCATGTGCTAACTCATATAGCCTTATAGATTGATGGTTATGATGTTTAATTGTACTTTCTTTCCATGTTGTAGAAAGGCGGATTATTGATCAATAATTAGAAGTATATATTATTCATGATATCATCTTTTAACCAGTGTTAACCAGTCTGGTTGAGAGCCTACTGTAAGCAGCTGGTTCTATGTTGTTAAGCTTTCATGTTAATTTCTTTAGCATTCTTCTTCTAATAGTTCTCACCATTACTGGTTAGACTGGCCCCACTGGCTATGGTAAGACATTTCCAAATTGCGCAATCTTATGCCATCGTTGGCAGTAATAGAACCAATTCCTTTTTCCATTGCCTAAATCCATATATTGCTGGCCTGCCTATATTTTCAAAATCTTTCCTAACCATGTCAGTCCAGCTCTTGATTGGTTCACCTCGTTTTTGATGCCATCTATCAGGGCTCAGCAAGTGACGACAACTCTGGTGGTGGACAAGGAAGAATGTGCACTAACCAATGAAGGTGACGCTCTGTGATGGTTCAGAAAGAATCGCTGCTACGTAGATACCGGTTTTTACATGATTTCGCGTCGACTCCATAAAGGTTTCGTCAACTGGAAAAAGATATTTCTAGTTGCCATTATCCAGATTGTAATTTTGTCTTTTGCTTAGCCATCCACTTGGTATTAAAGTAGACCCAAGATGTTTAAAATCACTTCCTCAATCGGCAATGAGTTTATAAAAAGAAGCGTTTTACATTTTCTTATATATAAAACGAAAAAATTTTCGTTTTATTGACATTAATTCTGAGTTTGAATTCGATTTTCGCTACAGTTGTTGACACATTTTTAGCATTATTAGCATTTAGTCATAATTGTCAGCCAAAAGGACTAAATCATCAGCGTATTCAAGATCTGTGCGTGATACGATGCTCTATACTGATTTGTACAGTTCGTGAGTGATGACAAGCGATGTCCATTATGCGTCTATCGCATAGTTGAATATTGTAAGGGAAAGGACGCAGTCTTGAGGAATACCAGTTTTTATTTCGAAAGAATCAGTCCCCATAGACAGACTTGTGCCAGAGTATGCTGATAAAATGCCTTTATATAAGTCGAATGATCTTCTCTGGGACACCGTCACATTCCATCACTTTCAGGATGTTTGCTTTATCATTCGAATTGAAGATAGTTACAAAATCGGTAAAGCGAGTGACGGTAGGTTCCTGCTATTTGAAACGATGTTCCATCATTCTTCTTAGTGTAAATATCTAGTTAGCATAAGCACGTTCCGGTTTGAATTTAGTTTAGCTAGGATATATCCTGCTATCTCGTGTTGCCATGAATCTATTTAGCAGAAGGGAAAAAATTTTCAATGTAAAAATTGCAGGTAAAAATTTTCCCGGAGTTGTCTAGGAGGCTGATTCCTCGACAATTGTTGCAGCATGTCCTATCACCCTTCTTGAGAATTGGGAGCAGATTGTATTGCCCCATTTATCTGGTATTGTTTTATTATTCTATACCAGAGCACATTTGTTAAGATGTGATTTGAAGGGCGATGGGTAAGATTTGAAGAATTCGATCCGAAGACCATTTTCTCCAAGAGTTGTATTGGCCTTAAGCTTATGGATGACAGATTATTTTCTTTTCTATTGGTGGTTCGTGTTTCCAAGCGTATGGTTCGATGAGCGAATTAGAGTAGCAGATGGCGCTTCGTGGTTAAGTTTGACCTCAAAGAATTCTTTCCATCTTATGAGGCGGTCCTTAATGCTCTTGACTGGAACGCCATTGTTGTCCCTTACAATTTCACTGATCGTTTCCCGAATTATGGTTGCTTTATGAAGAAGACAGAATAATTTCCTATTATCGCTTAATCGAGCCGCCGCCTACATTCTCAAGGCCATGTCACTCCAGTAGTGATTTCTGTGTCGCCCTGTGTCGCCCTGCTGTTCGTTGCATTTCTTCGAATCATCCGGCAATCATGATCTACTTCGTGCTTTGGCAGTTTTTTCAAGCAGTTAGATAATTTCTTCCGATAGCCAACTTGCGCACTTCCTACTATTATGCCCTAACACAGAAGTGGCTGACTTTCGGAGATATTCTTTTAATTGGGACCAGCATTCATTTACCGTTCCATAAAAGTCATTAATACTTGTATACTTATACTTTTGATGTGCTTCAGTTCAATAATTCAGTTTGAAATGTATTTTCATTATCTCCGAATTGCTTAGCTTAAGATAGTTAATTGACCTCGGCGAATACTGTTTCTTGCGAGTTGTCAGTTTTATGCGGATCTTGGCTCGGGCCGTAACATGGTCAGATCCATGAAGGCTGCCTCCAAAAAGAGTAAAATAAAGTTAGTCCAATTGCGATCAATGGAGATTCATTTATTAGTGCATTTTATGGGTAATATAGCCGAATAGTTCTCGCTCAGATAATAATCTCGAGCGGCAAAGTTCAGGTTGTGCCTACGATGGGAGTGTTGTCTTATTGATGGAAAATCTCCTGTAAGGTTTTTCTATATAAACCTAGATATTAGATGTATCTATCTCCGGTTGGGAAAAACTCAACTACTAATATTGATAGCCAGTGGAGCGAACCTAATCAGAAATGGTATTGTACATTTAATTGTACATTGTCGTTTACAAAATGGAAAATGTTTTAATTTCCAGTTTACGATTCTAATACTTTCACATTCAAATTTTATCTCCGGTGATAGTGAATTCCGAGAAATAGAAAAAAAAACGAATTATAAACATCAAAATTC